CCCCCCCCCCCCCCCCCCCCCCCCCCCCCCCCCCCCCCCCCCCCCCCCCCCCCCCCCCCCCCCCCCCCCCCCCCCCCCCCCCCCCCCCCCCCCCCCCCCCCCCCGTTCCCACACCCACACACTTTTCGTAAATTGGTATTCACAATCATTTGTAGTGATCTGTCAGCTTATTTCTCATGGTAAAGATATGAATTTAAATGGGGAAAAAAAAATCCTAAAATTAATTGTAAATGTTCATGTCCTAGCAATTCCTAGCAATTCTGTATTAGTTGTAATATACAGTGAAAGCCTTATTTAAAGACCACCCAAGGGAGACAAGAAAAGTTGTCTTTATAGGTAGGCGGTCTTTATGTACAGGTCCCTTTAGTACATGTTTCAATGAGAAACCATTTTCAAGGAAAACAAAAAATGTGGTCTTTGTAGACAGGTGGTCTTTCTATACAGGTGGTCACTAAAGCAGGTTTGACTGTAGTACTTAATACATGAATTCAGATATTGTATTTCATTATATTATAGCTACGTTGGCATGCTGTCCTTCTCTCATAACTTTCCTGTTATATAGTAATTTTTTCTTTAAATGTCTTTATTCCTAGATTCTGGATACAGTGATATCTGTATTTAGGGATAGCGGAAGTAAAGCGCTTGATGTGCCTCAACCAGCATCAGCTTGCCCTCATCCACCAAGAATCACTAGGTAAAACAAATCTTTTCTATCAATGTTATCTTCATAATCATAATTATCATCATAATCATTATCATTATCATCCTAATCATTATTGTCATCATCATCAGAGATGCCAACTAGTACGGATTTCCCGTAATTTCTACGGGAAATCGGCCGATTACGGGCGGTACGATTTTCATACCATAAATTCCGGATTTTGCCGATTTTGCCGATTTTCAAAATTAGCACTTTAAGGTTTAGCACGTTTAAGGTTTAGCACGTACTTTGACTATTGCAGCGCAGCCATCCTTGAATCCATGCATAGAAATCCCACAGGGCTTCCGATTGGACCATTTGTTATCTAGCACACCCCTTTCAGTGCATACATGTGCATACAACATGTGCTTCGCGAGCGGGGGCCGGGTGAAATACCTCTCTTGGCCGCGCCGCTACCGCCCCGCCCATGCCCAGCGCCAGGCCTCGCTACGCTAGCGCCGTGTACACTGTCGGATTTCTCACAGGCTGTCACAGCGTTCGTCGATTTTCGTCGACAATCTGAACTCATGTTGGTTGGATTTAGATATCAATCATCATGTCTTCCACAACTAAGAAGCGTGGCAAGAAGTTACAGACTTTTAAAGAAGAATACAGTAAGAAATGGAAATGCATCGTGTAACACCAACTAATGAACAGGTAGACTATGTTACTTTTATTTAACTTGTTGTGCTATCGCGCTTGCCTGCGGGAGCTGCGCTTGCCAGCGTGCAGAAAAATTTGCGTCGCGCAGAAAATTACGGATTTTGTCTCCAAATTACGGATTTTTAGCCTTATGATTACGGATTTGTGCTCTGAAAGGTTGGCATCCCTGCATCATAATCATTATTGTCATCATAATCATTATTGTCATCATAATCATTATTGTCATCATAATCATTATTGTCATCATAATCATTATTGTCATCATAATCATTATTGTCATCATAATCATCATGATTATTATAATCATCATCATCATAATTATTATAATCATCATCATCATCATCATCATAATCATTATAATCATCATCATCATCAGAATCATTATAATCATCATCACCATTGTAATCAACATTGCCCTCATTCACCAAGAACCACGAGGTAAAACAGATCTTTTCTATCATCGTCATCAGGAACTTACATTAATTTATAAGATAATGTGTAATAATTTGATTGTAGCACATTGTTTCTACCTTTGTCATCTATCGGTTTGTATTTTTATTTTGTATTTAAAATCCAATCTCAAGTTTTGGTTGCAATAAAGAAGTAATATTGATGATAATCATAATCATAGTAATCACCATTTTATCATAATCATCATAACCATTATCATAAACATGTTTATCACTGTCATCGTTGTCGTCATCACCATCATCGCTTTCATCATCACCATTATCATCATCATCATCATCATCATCACCATCATCACCACCACCACCACCACCATCACCACCACCACCATCATTTATATTTATTAGACCGAGGCTCTGTTGCTTAAAACTTACCATTGATGGTAACTGTGCCATCCATATTAACTACCATGGCAATATCACTCAACAGCCAATCCAATCAAGGTTCCCATGGAAGTTACCATACAATGGGACTCTGGAATCATTGTTCTAAAAAAGTTGTGGGATTCTGTTGTACATTCTTTAGAGTACTTGGGTACTGTAATTTAGATATGATATGGAGAACAGGTGTATGATTTTTATAAGAAAATTTACCTTAACACACAAATATTGTGGCCAAGAGCATCACACACATTGTCTGTGAATCTTTCTTTTTATCCGATTTGATGTTCGTGTGTAGTGATGTCTCTCGAGAGGAGCTGGCACAGATTCACAGAGAGAGGGCAGCAGCTCGTAAGATGCAAGCTGAGATGCATTCATTGAGGATGGACATGCTGTACAAGCTTTCCATAGCAGACAAGGTGGGTCCTATCAACCTTAAAGGCATTGTTTAACATTGTTAAATCTGAGATGCATGGCCCTACGTGTTATCAGTGTCTGTGATATGGTGTAATATTAAAGTCCTAAAAAAATTGCGCTTCAAAATGATCATGAAGTGCCTCAAAAAAGTAAAATCTTTGAGTGACCAGTTTTACCTTACTCATTTTCCCCAATAGACTAGTGTTATGAAAACCGTTAGAAAACGCAAAATAAAATTTCGATTTTTCAATCAGAAATATCTTGATAATCAGACATGCGATCGGCTTGTTAAAGACATGGGAATCCTGAATGACCTAAAGGTTTGTAATTATGATTGCAGCATGAGCTAAATCAAGGATTTAGTTTAAGGATCTGAGACAAAGTTACCCAATCCCTTTAATTATTTCATTTCAAGTATGTATAAGAACTTTTCCAGATACTTCAGGAAACTTTCTATTAGCACCCATTGTGATAGTCATGAGTAAGAATGATACAGCAAATAACTGTCTTCCTTTGGTAACCAAATATAACCATTATCATATCAAATTGTGAGAATGTTAGGCTGGTATAGTATCACACTATATTTTACCTTCAAATATTCAATCAACATTTTTTTTTAAACAGGATTTAATAGTCCCTTTCCTCATTGCAATCAATGAATAATACCTTTAAAGCATTTATAGAAGTAAGAAGAAAATATTAAAAAATTAGGACATGTCCTGAGCTATACATTCTTACTAAAGATAGTGGATTGATCTGGTTTTAAATTTCACATTGTCATTAAAAATCTCAAACCCATAGCAACAAGAGCAGGATAAAACGAATTACTTTCATGGTTCAAAATTTGACGATTATAATAATGAAAGCTAAAGGTTTTTTTTTTTTAAAGTTCATCAACATACAACTGGAGAAGTCCTCAAGAAATCTGCAAGTGTATCTTCTTGTTAATCTAAGGATATTGTAACCTTGTTTATTATTTTAGGTCCGAAATGAAATTTTCTGGTTCCCACACAACATGGATTTCCGCGGGCGTGTCTACCCCTGCCCTCCACACTTCAATCACTTCGGCAATGACGTTACCAGGAGTCTCCTCTTGTTTGCCAGGGGGATGCCCCTTGGTGAGGAGGGCTTCAGGTGGCTCAAGATACATCTTGTAAACCTCACTGGCCATAAGAAAAGGTGAGGAGCTCTGGAGTTTGAATTTAACCGAAAATACCCTTATTGGTAGAAAGTATCTCTATTTTGTTTTGTTTGATATCTGTGCCAGCTCACTGCTTAAGATGCTAAGATTTTAGGATCATAAATTATTATAAATAGTTTAGGCAGACAAATGCTGATGTCCATTTATATTATATATGAAAGTCTGAGAAGTATACTGTTGATGTTTGACATAAAGTAATGGAAAACATTTTTTTAGGACATGTTGGTTTTAGTAGATGATGAGTCAGATGGTTCTTGTGAATGGACCATGACATGAAGGGGAAATGTTGGTTATTTCACTCCTCAATCACATCATCAAACCACTCTAAGGTCACCAAGGTAACTGACATTTTCGTCCATTTGGGGGAATGTAATATCCAGTCTAGTCTGTTGCAAGTTTGGTGTTGGTCTTGATGGTGTGAGTGAGGTATTTATTTCGCATTAGGTCTCCTAATGGAGATCGAGATTGATACATTGGAATTCCTTGACTGAGACTGGTCCTGACTCCTTAACTTGACTCAATACCTAGCCGTGGTTATAACCCCCGGTATTTATATGTCTTTGATTCTTCCTTCTTCTTTTCAGATGCTCTGTAGAAGAAAGGCTTCAGTATGCCCATGATATGCTGCCTGAGATTATGGACTCTGCTGACAAACCACTAGATGTGAGTATATATAATAGCAGTTTGATTAATTACAACCCTAAAAACGGCTGGGTTATGTTAGTAGTTTCTAAGCCAGGGGGAGGGCTGATTCTACCCCCCCCCCTACATCTCTTGGACATAAAGTGACAACTTATTCTGAAACTTGCCAGATAGATAAAGTATCCTATCATGAATACGGGTATGCCCATGAAGTTTCTTATCTAAATATCAGAAGAGTTTTGGAATTGGAGATATTGGAGTGTTGGGGACATCACCATGAAAAGATAAATAGGTTTTCAGAATACTGATTTAGTAATATGGCAAGGGTATTTTTTCTTCTGGACTTCACATAAAGATTAAACAGCATTTAGATTACCACCCAAATGTTAGTTTTTCATTATTAGGAGATTTCCGTCCATGTGTGCAAAAGAATGACACTATTGTAAATGATCATTGATTGGTTTCCAGGGCAACAAGTGGTGGCAGAATTCAGATGAACAATGGCAGACATTGGCATCGTGTATGGAGGTTACCAAGGCGATAAGGTCGGGTGACCCTACATCGTATATCAGCCATCTTCCCATACACCAGGTAGGATGTCCTGCTAATTGTAACCAAAGAAAAATGATACTTGTATTACATTCAAGTGATATGATGCAAGATATAGGCACAATTTAGGCTAAAGTGCCATAATAAGCTTTAAATTAAGCTTTGTGTACCTTTATGCTCTGGTATTGTTTAAGAGGATAATCTAGGTAAGTATTTATACTCCACTACATTTGTTTTTATCTTTTATACACTTTTATTTCATGTTTTGTGAAAATAAAATTTGATTCATAACATGCCAAATGTCCTTTGATATTGTAGTGAAATATCACATGTACAGAAAAATGTTTTTGTGATTTATACTAAGCTCTGCTTATATCGCCAGTTGGTGGTATGGATACACATAGGGATAAATGTGATTCAAGGATAATTGTAGAGAGACTTGATTATCAAATTTTTAAATACACACATGTCTTTATTCAAAAAGGTAATATGTGCTATTCATTATACTATGAACTGAAATAAAAATAGTATGAAATAAGAATACCGTAAATCTCCGTGTATAAGACGCACTTTTTTTCCGTCGGGAAAGATCGAAAGTCGGGGGTGCGCCTAATACACAGGTTCAGGATATTTTGAGTTCTCAAAATGCTACTTTTTAATGGTTTCCAAAAATCTCTGTGTCTCAACATAAATTACATAATGCAAATAAAGAATAGGGTCTACTATTTGAAGTTAAACTACATTCCTAATTTGAAGGGAAGAGTTTTTTTTTTTTTTTTTTTTAAATCTCAAAAATAGGGGTGCGCCTTATACACAGGTGTGCCTTTTACACAGAGATTTACGGTAGTAATAATTTTATTGCCATGTAAGTATTGTTGAATCTTTGACATCAGTGCTGCTATTTTTTATGCTACCTGTTATAGGATGGTTCCTGCAATGGCCTTCAGCATTATGCTGCCCTGGGTCGTGATCTCATCGGAGCAGAGCAGGTCAATCTGCATCCCTTTGACATACCACAGGATGTCTACAGTGGTGTCGCTCAGATGGTAAGACTGGGGCATTTGATGGGAAAATTATGTGAACATGCGGGAAGAGGTATTAGTTCTTATCATGCCACAGGGCTAGTCCCCATTGTGCCAAGCCCCAAATCCCCCCATGCCAAGTTTATTTTGAGATAATCTGATTAACGCGATGGTTCTATGAATAGCGCACGGAAACACACAGCACAGTACAATGATCATGAACAATAACTGCTATTACGAATGCGTGCAAGCATGCACAAGGCAGTGAAGCAATGGCTCGCTCGCATGTACAAAGCACTATAACGGTAGCGTGCATGCAGCCTTATGGCAGGATATGAATTAGAGAAGGGAGGGAAGAAGGAGGAAGAAAAAAGAGAAAGGAGTGTATTGTTCCTAAAATGAACAGACCATGGCCTTTTGACTCTATTCACTTCTACACTGAACTGCTCGCTTCAACCTTTGGACCAAATACTAAGCCTGGCTGAACCCTGACCCTGACAAAGAACCCATTTGAAAGTGTACCTTAACTCTGTGCGTTTGACGAAATTAATCCTGGATCATTTGTCTCCATTTCTGATGTTGAGTTTTCAAGACCGGGTCGTGGACGGGGAAGAGGAGAGGAGGAGCGGCAGGGAAAGGAAGTGAGAAAATAAGGATAGAAGGGAGAAAAGGGTTATGAAAAGCAAAAGACAAGAGGCGGAAAGTGAAGGAAAAAAAAAAAACGTTGAAGAAACTGAGGAACGTTGAGGGAAGATATTGAAGAAAAAGGGATATAGATGAGATAAAGTCATAGAAATAGCATTTTTGATTGTTGTATAAATCCTATTCCTTGGTCATGTCATCAGTGCGTAATTATCATCATACTGAAAAACTACTTTCCTATAGATGCTATCAGAATCTTGATCAAATGGTCCTTCCTTTATATAAGATTTTGAATGTTATCTGATTTTTCATGAAGGTTGAGGAGCTACGGAGGCAGGATGCAGAGAAAGGAAACAAGATTGCCCTGGCCCTTGCAGGTCACATCAAGCGAAACGTAAGTATTCATTATTCAGTGAGTAATATATGTGTGTAATTACCAAGGTTTATTGGATGAGTTGCCATTTAGTCTACATCAGTTCGTCTGCTACCCTATTCCCACTATGGTCTATACTCAGCCCGTCTACTATCCACATGGTCTAATAATTAATTTTGTCTACTTATCATTTGGTCTAATGACCAATAAACCGCTGTATGGCTACACGTAAGTTCAGGTTTGATGTTCAGACTTGATTTAGGATAGAAACTGATTGCCCAGCAATGTTTCCAAGCATGTGTCAAAACAGTTCATATGTGCTAATCAACTGCTTTCATTTATTACTGTAAAATGTTAATCCATCCCTTTAAAATGTTCCTGCATCTTATCAGGTTGTGAAGCAGACCGTGATGACCGTGGTGTACGGTGTGACATCGTACGGTGGTAGACGTCAGATCTTGAAGCAGCTAAGGGAAGAGGATGATCTGACCATGGATCAGAAGTGGTTTGCTGCGGGCTACATCACGCTCAAAGTCTTCCAGAGTCTGAGGAAGATGTTCACCAAGACTAGGGAGATACAGGTAATGATGAGTGGTTCATTTAGTATGCCAAAATACTCAGTTTGATTGTGTACTTGGTATAGAAAGACAGAACATGTCGAATCCCGACACGGCACTAATATCCTTTGGCAAGATATTTACCTGCACTTACTACTCTCCACCCTGGTGTTAAATGGGTACCTGGTAGGATGAGAAAGTTCATGTGGTTGGATAAGCAAGTGTGCGCTTGTAAAATGGCGACTGGCTGGAATGCTCCCCAGGGAGTGGAAAATGTGCATACATTGTTTGCAGGTAAGCCTGAATCCGATGACCGGGGTAATAATATATCTGTACAGCGCTTAGGCACATTGTCGTATCGATGTATTGGGCTCTATATAAAAGCGGAATATTATTGACAGCTGTACATGCTGTTCAAGGAGTTGGAAAAATTATGGCAAAAATACTTTCAGGATAACTTTTCCCCTTTTCTTCTTATTCCCTTGTAGCAATGTTACCTCAGTTATAGAACAAATGCAAGGGCCCTGTGTAGTAATATTTACAAACATATGACCCATTTATAGCAAACAGAAAGCATCATTGTGCTGGCAGAATATATTTCAACAGTATGTACGAATACAATTAAGTTATTATATTATAGTTACAAGAGTGGTATTCTGAGAAACAGAGATCGAGATGAGTGAGAGAGAGAGTTAGAGAGAGAAAGTGGGGAAGGAAAGAAAAATCAATAATAAAAAGGATATGAGAGGAGTGCTAGGAGAAAGTCAAAGAAAGAATATAGTATTAAATGTTTAGACTTTAGAGAAAGGGGCTGAGAAGTAAGAAAAAATGGTGGATAGGTAGTCGCTAAAGTGTGGGGGAAAAAAAGAAGATATGGGATATTATAGAAGGTCCTGAACTGCATTTCTGCTGTTATAATAGAGATAACTAATGCAGACTTTGTATCATGTTCTACAGGACTACTTAACGGAGAGTGCTTGGTTGATATCTAAAGCCGGTGAGACGGTGGAATGGGTGACACCTCTGGGTCTACCCATCGTACAACCCTATCATAAGAAGAGTCTGAAGCTTATCTCACATGGAGGACGCAACGTCTATCATGAAGAGAGACACAGCCAGGCTGAGTGAGTAATTCCAGCTATTTGCAAGTTATGTAGATATATTATTGTTGGAGACCTATAATTCTTCCATTGCTTATCATTAATCTCAACTCTTTAGCTCTAAATCCATTTTACAATACAGTGAAGGAAGAAAATTGTAACATATTGTATCAAGTTTTAACCTATTTCTATTTCTCACTCAACTTGAATTATGAATTACAGAGAAACAATCCCCAACTAATATTTTGTTTTGTTTGCCTGGAGTCTTGTAATGGTATTAATTCTCTAATTATAGCTATTCACACAACTATTCAAATACATTTTTATTTTGAGACCGACATCTATATTATTCATCCATCAGTTATCATCAATCTCAAATGTTTACTTCTGAATCCATTTGAAACCAATTGGAAGAAAGAAAGTGTAAGCTATTTTATCAACCCTCTGTATAGAAAGACCCCCTATATATAAATACTTAAGACTGCATTTTTTTTGTTCTTTCTCTCTCTCTCTTGTTGAACTTTAATTACAGGGGCCCACCCACCAACAAAGAACATTTTGCTCTGTATTTTGGGGGGTTCTTTACTGGTATTTAAGTCTGTCAAGAGATATTTTAAGTGTAAATACCAAGCCTCTATACAAATATGAAAGTAACTGAAATGTGTGGTCGTGAATGAACCCATATTCACGAGCACAGATTTTAAGTCTTGTATGTAGCCAACTTCCTTGTGGGCCGTGATATGTAAATATTTTCCCCATATATGTCTTTATTCTTCATTATAAGAATGTCTCATGGTTTGGAGATGATTTGTATGTCTTTAAATGATTTACAACATTCCTGTGATAGCTTGATTTCGTATATATTTTATTATGTGATGTCTCAATCCTTGATTCTGCTTTACCTTTGTAGACGTCCAGACACGATGAAGCAGAAGAATGCATTCCCACCAAACTTCATTCATTCCCTAGACTCAACTCATATGATGCTCACATCACTCTACTCACAAAGGTGAATAATCAGAAAGATCAAATAATAGTAATAATATAGAATATTAAGGAGCGCTAAAAAAATAAGTACCATAACAAATATATGAGAAGAGGACAAAAATTGTACAGTCTCACAGTTAGCAGATCGCGTAGATCACTGGGGGAAAAGGTGGGTTTGAGGGATCTTTTGAAGGTGGCAAGACAGGTAATTTCCCTTATGGAAAGGGGGATGTTGTTCCAAGTCTTTGATGCAGCTACTGCAAAACGTTTTTCAGCTGTTGAGAGTCTTGATTTGGGAATGATAAGTTTGCATGCGTCTGTTGCTGAGCAAAGATTACGAGACAGTGTACATATTTGGAAGGTGTCATTAAAAATTTTGAACTCTCTTAAACAATGTCTCCTCTTCATCCAAGCGTGAACACATACCACACACAAATGATACCAAATGATTTGGGATAAAACACTCTTTCATAAGATGTATATATTTACTGTTCATAGATGTTTTTTTTAATAATTAGCAATTTTCTAGCTGTAAACTTTTTTTTGACTCACTCTGTATATTTCTCTTGTATGTTATCTTGTAGAGCCGGTATCGCCTTTGCCTCTGTACATGATTGTTACTGGACCCATGCTAGCTCTGTCAATCAGATGAACAAGGTAGGAAATGCTACATCTTAAAATTGAAGTGTGGGTATATAGAGGGCAGCACATGGCTGTATGCATGGGAGCGTAATACCCGTTGGCTCAGTGTTATGTAGTGATTGCCAAGTTGCCTACTTCACGAACGACTATATACCCACTCATGAACATCTTAATATCCTCTCTCTCCATTTTAAATTGATAACACACCATGGGACGAGATGTAGGGTCTTTATTTTTAAAAATGGTTGTGAGATATCTTGATTTTTAAAAGATAAGAAAATAAGAATGAAAGTGCCAGGTTCCTGATTTGTAAAGTAATTATAAAGTGAATAAACTTATCACCGTTTGTATTGAAAAACATGTTTGGTAATTTGAGACCGCAAAATAGAAAATTGTGAATAAAAAATGTACCTTCTCCAACATACTTTCATGACTGGATTTGCCAAGCCTTTTCTATTTCATGCATTCCCATTATTTACTCAGAAAATGATGTCATCGATTCAACATCAAGAAAAGCCTTGATAAATTATTTACCAGAGTTATCAGAATGAAACCATACCTACACAGTGATTCATTTTTGTTCTTCTTCAAATCTTGTACTTGTTTACTGTTTGCAGATCTGTCGGAGCCAGTTTGTGAAGCTACACAAGGAACCCATTCTAGACAATCTCTCTGAGTTCATGGTGGAAAAGTATGGACAGCTGTAAGTATGCAAGATTACTTATCTGTAGACTTTTACAAAACAGGAGAATGGTCTATACTTCTTTCTAATATTGCAAAGTGCTATATCAGTCTTGACAACTACTCCCTTGCTTAAAGGGGAAGTCCACCCTGAAATTAAGTTAGTTTTAATAGGAGTAGAAAAATGAGAGAAACAAGTCAGTGAAAGTTTGAGCAAATTCCGATTAAAATAAGGAAGTTAGGATTTTTGAAGTTGTGATCAATCAAACACAAATTGGCAACTCTATGACGTATTATGCGAGCTCAACTTCCATTTGCTCAGTACTAAAAAAATCTAAAATTTTCGTTTTCCCTCAAGAAAAATTTCAACCATACATGCACCCTAAATATAATAATTGCAAATATGTTTCTATACTCCCCCTGCAAGGAACAAATATATATTCCGTCATCAATAACAAAGAAAACATGATTTTATGGAATATTATGCACAAAGCAAATGAAGGAGAGCTCGTATAATAAGTCACAGAGTTGCCAATTTGTATTTGATTAATCACAACTTCAATAATTCATAACTTTCTTATTTTCATTCAGAATTTGCTCAAACTTTCACTCACCTGATTTTCTTATTATTCTGCCTCTATCGAAACAAACTTATTTTGGGGGTGGACTTTCCCTTTAAGACACTTACTCCCTAGAGAACTACAAAGCCAAAACGTCTCTCTCTGTAGCAGGGGGAAATATACAGGAGCTCAGGGCGAAACAGCCCCTGAAATGGCCCAAAAAAAATTTGCATTGAGTTTAATGCAAAACAAATTAAAGAGTGTTATTTTCATGCAAGCAAGCTTGAAAAGTAGCCCCCAAAATTGTTGAATATTTTTTTCCCTGATCTGTCATTAGCAAGGATTACTTTGGTATATGCTGAGCAGCTATTTCAGCACTTTTAAAGAAAAAAATACTGACACTTCTTTGCACCCATGTACTACAACTAATGCATCTCACTAGAATTACCAAGATTTTCAACAAATTTGAATCATGGATAACACTTGATTTTTAAGAGTTGCTTCAATTGCAACTGTTTATGCAAGAGACCTCTTACTCAGGGGAGTCAAATGAAAAGAGTGTCTACTTACAATGTATCCATTTTCTCCCAACTTGAAACTACTGTAAATAGAATTTGTGATGAGATGTAACCAAAGAGACAAACGTAATGAGAATCAGAATCATTTAATTGGCTTACGTTTTATTTCTTGAATCAGAGAGTCCGTCTGGATCCGCCTCTTCGAAATTTACTTAATCATATCTCTTTAAAGAAGCGGCCCCTGGGTAGGGGGTCAACAATATGACTACTGCTAAAACAAACAACATCAAGTAACAGTATTTATCTTTGCAAGAGATGATAGTCGAATAATCCATTCATTTGTTTATTGTTTTCTTCCTATGTTGTAGGGATATGCAAGACACGTCCAAACTCAAGCGAGGAAGCCGTAACATGAAGATCTTGGAGGATTACATCAAGATTGTCCCAGAGAAGGGTGACTTTGATCTCGACAATGTCTTGAAGTCCACTTACTTTTTCAGTTAAAGACATGTCCAAACTCAAGCAAGGATTAAGAAGTTGGAACATGAAGATCTTAGAGGATTACATCAAGAACGTCCCTGAAAAGGGCGTCTTTGACCTTGACAATGTCTTGAAGTCCACTTACTTCTTCAGTTAGAGACACATCCAAACTCAAGCGAGGAAGCAGGAACATGAAGATCTTGGAGGATTACATAAAGAACGTCCCTGAGAAGGGTGACTTTGATCTCGACAATGTCTTGAAGTCTAATTCTATAGTTAAAGATAAGCGAGGAAGCAGGAATATGAAGATCTTGGAGAATTACTGTAAACACAGAAATATTTGTGGTACATCAATTTTCGCGGATTTCGCGCAAAGAGCGGCATGTGCAAATTTTAGAACTCACAACAATAAAAGCATGACTTCTTGTGCATGTTTTGAATGGGCTGAATTGAGTGCAACGCGAATTTAGGAACCTGTGAATATGTTTTGGGGTCGCTCAGCGCGAAAAATTAATCACGCGAAAATAACAGCGTTTACAGTACATCAAGAAAGTCCCCGAGAAGGATGACTTTGATCTCGACAATGTCTTGAATCCACTTAGTTCTTTAGTTAGAGATACATTCAAACCTTATGAGGCTATGATAGAACTGGTCCAGTTTTGCACTTTCGTGGTACATGATCATAATGTTTTGTGTAACCATATGTATTTGAAGTATTTATGTTTTCTAGTGACTATTCTAAATTGGTTGTTGCATAACCATGCAAGCCATGTAAAGACTATGCAAGTGTACCAAGTATACTATTCATCATGTGTGTATATTTTGTTCTTCACTCTTAAACCATGAATTATGCAATATCAATTTTTATCACGTTCAGGTTTGTTATTATTTCAGCATGAGTATAATATGTACTTCTATCTTTCATAAGTGATTAAACAGAAAACCAGCCTTTCTTTGATTGCACATTTATTGCTTCTGAGCTTCTCTCATAAAGGTATGCATTTTGACGAGATGGTTAGTTGTCTAATCGTAGAACATGCAAGCCGGAAACAGGGCATTCCTTGCCTTGTTTGGGAAACCAGAGTGTTCCGGCGGAAAATGGGCACTATGAATTATTGTAACGCAAGGAATCAAAGATTTCATTGAAGAAAACTAGACATGTGCATGTATGTGCTACAAACTCTAGCTGAAAGGAATGTTTACCTAAATTTCACACATGGATCAAACTATCCTTAGCTATCTGTTAAGGATAGTTTACTGTGGGTTAACTTTAAAAAGAGCTTTTGTAAATGTTTTTAATGCATGAAATACTTAAATTTTCTGTTTGAAATTCTTTTTATGCAAATCTAAAAATGAAGCTCCGCCGACCAAAAAAAAGTATACTTTAACCTGGTTTATATCAATTGTGGAAACCTACTTGCCAGGTTTGGAACTTAATGGAATGAATAAGTAACACATTGAGGTAATTAAAAATATTGATGTTTAAAACTACCAAAAGAAATATATTTGTATACATTTGTATCATAAAGACTGTATTTTAAGATGTATCAGTAAAACATATGAATAAAACTTGATATATAAAATTGAAACAGATGTTTTTGTCAATGTTTGTTTATATTCATGTATTTGATATGTCCACATGAATTTTGTTTAAAATCAGCTGTGCAATTGTGTAAAACCCATTCATCCGACCCACTCCCCCCCCCCCCCCCGACCCCCCTCCCCTCTGTTAATTGCAACTTTGCAAACCCAACTCCTAAATGCAAATGTGATTAAAAAATCTCACTCTATCTGTTCCCTTCGCTCTACCCCTCAGATAAGTCATCAAATCACACACCCTTTTCCTCCTCTGATCAGAGCTACATTGCATGTTGTTATACAGTAGGCTTGCGGGTGCACAATGTGAGAGAGAGGGAGGATTGAGGAGTCCTGAAAAGGATTCTCTGTAATCTTTCTTGAGGGTGTGTAGTCCTGAAAAGGACTGTTGGTGTAGTCTTGAAAAAGACTGTTGGTTATCTTTCTTAGCTTATAGTTCAAAAGAGAACTTATAGCGTTTGGAGAGGATTAGTGGCGGGAGTGGCTCGACGTTTCGAACAGGTCGACTATCCGCAAGCCTACTGTATATCTACATCACCATGCAAGCCGATACTTACAAGCAGCATCTATTGCATGTTGTGTTTTTCATTGTTTATTTATGTGTTTGTTTACTTTTACTTCTTAAATGTACATCATATACATGTACTGATATTCCCTTTATATCAACCTCTACAAATTTTCATACATTCCTCCTTCGAACGTCTCCTTTTCCATTCCTCTTTTTTTTTTCTCTCTTTATCTCTCCCTCCTACCTCCTTAATCTTTCTTTGTTACCCTCTTTTTCTCTCCATCCTATTTCGTCTCAAAGTGTTTTTTCTTATTCTCACTGTCTCTCTCCCCTCTATCTCTCTTTTTCAAATCGCTAAGTTCAAATTGTAGATAATAGTCAATATTCTGGTCGAATACAATGATGAATTATTGATTTAATTTCTTGGCACAGATATATTCATGTACATTGTCAACAAAAATACCACATGTAAGGAAAAGAGCAGATACATGCACAAGCATAAGTTGAATGTAGAATTAAAATAAAATTCTAGCAATATTTGTTGGGCGTAACTTTAGAATCCCACCAATAGGGTTAATGTACATGTACATGAACGTCCAACACCTAGGATTAGATTCAGGGTTAGATTCAGGGTTAGGAATAGTGTTACCTGAGAAACTTGGGAGTACTTAGGTTAAGCTTCATTGGTGAAGCGTTGGTTAACCTACGAACGTCTGGTAAATTTTTACTTGCACTACACTCGGCACAAGCACAAGGTACAATAATACGCCAACGGCGGTCTGTACTATACTGGAAGAAGAAGAATTTTTGTGGTGGGGTATTCTAAAGTTGCTCCATTTTTTCAAATTTGGTCAAGTTAAATTAAGGGTACCAAGCATATGCTTATGATGATGAGTGTGGTATGATATTCCTTGCATTATCATATCTATTATTTATAGGTGTTTGTAGTACAATTCAAACAATCCTAATCACATTAATAAATAATAAACACTAATTTTTACTCCCCACATACATTGATCAATTACGTCAAACAAATTTATTTCTTCCATTGCTAGGCAAATAAATACACCGTTCAACCCATTTCCTTGTTAAATGTTACACAATACTTTAAATGGTCATGATTATCAATGTAAGCCAAACTCTCTTCAACAGCTCTCCTACTGAATTGGTTATTTGTCTACATACTATTCTAGAGACACTTCACAAATGAATTTTCAGAAAATATAATTTTACACTCCTTTTGGCTGATACTTTCTATTCTTTCCGTCAATCTGAATTTTAACAACTTAACTGACTTTACTAAAAAACAAAGACTAATATCACATAGAATCAAACATTCTCACAAGTATAATTATTTCTAATAAATTGGTGACATATAATATGTACATGTACATGCATAAAAACATTCAGCCTCTCTCTATTTTGAACATTTATGAATAATTTTATATATACTCTTGACATTTTCACCTATTGCATATCTCTTAACAGATTTGACATAATATGATCTACTATGTGTAATGTTTCATCACCATGCAGCCTCGCTTTTGAGAGATGTATAGACAGAGAAACGGCTCTATACACACAAAAAATAAGCAACACATTGAACAATTTGTATACAATATGAACACAAACACTGAGATGTTAAAACAACTGTTCTCTTGATGTCCTTTATTTGAGGTAGTTTATGGAAATTGTTTTGTGCACTTGTATCTTCATTGTAAACGTCTTCATCCTAAATTATCAAGGCAAGAGTAGAAAGAGCATGTTTCTTCCCAACTTAAACATACCGGTATTATCAATGAAGCGCCAAATACTTTGATATTTTTTTAATACCAAGCATTTATAAAATATGCATCTAAAACTTCAACTCAGCCACACTTTTTTATAATTCAAATCACAGTTCAATCGTTAACATTTTCAGTACTTTGTCATTACACATTAATTTATATTGGAATGGTGTATCAGTAAAAAAACATTGATTGTGTGTTGCCAATTTGATTTTCAAAAACATGATTCTTTCAGCCTTTTCAATAAAAATTCCTGTCTTTGATGCCCAAACAAGACAGGAATACTTTGAGAGTTGTCCTTCAGCTTGTAAAAGATTTACATACACTGTATGAAGAAACTAGACTTTTAGATTTAGTTGCTTGTTCTTGAAAGACAGGGGGGGGGGGGGGGGGTGCCCAAGTTAAGCTGAAACATGAAAATGTAACAGGACAACAACTGCTCTGAGAAATCTTTGTAGCAGGGCATTGCTTTAAAATACTCGGCAGCTCATAGTAATTCTACCATAGGGTAACCACAATAATGCACATAAGCATGCCATTTCTTTTTAAGAAGCAAACTTTTGCAAAAACATGTTCACGTAGACACCATATCCTTTACTAGTTTACCAGTAGCCTTTTGATGGCCTTTCTAACAACTACCAGAGACAACTGGCAAAAAAAGACTTGTAGACTTCAAGCTCGTCATATCTGGTGTGAAGGTGAGACACCTTGTCAAAGGCCTACATGTCTATCGACTTGCTGTGCTACTAGCTCTGCTTGTCCGCTTATGATTAAGATGCAAGAAGTGGGTCTTGTTTGGGTTCTCCACGATGTCATTAAGAATGGCTTTGAGATGGTGTGCCACAGGCTTTGGGTCTTCTGAGTTAACCAAGATGTTGTACGATGACAGAAAGTAGTGATTGCACGTTCCTGATTTCAACATGGCAATGAGCGCCATGAAGAGGTCAACGAACGCTCTTCCGAGTTTGCTGGGTGTCCAGTCGTCTTGCAGAGGATACTGCGTGCATTGATGAAGGAAAGCTGTTGTGACGATGGGTGGCGTGATTGGATGAAACTCTTCCAAGTTCTCATCACAGAGTGAGAGCATCGTGAGCAGGACAGAAGCACGACACGACACCTCTGGGGCGTCATCCTCGATCACCGTCCGAGCCAGGACCTTCTCACTCAGGCCGAAGTACGTGCACCAGAGCCGGAATGCATCGTGACCCGGTGGAGGGCGGGCAGGGTAGACGTGGAATTTATGCTTGACCTTTGACATACGAGCATAGTCCAGCCACTGGTTAGGTCTTGCGGCACACTCGGGTCCCCAGTTCTGCAAACTCTTTGGCCAGCAGCCGCTGAGTTCCAATGCAGGGATTAATTCAATCGTATACTCCTCGCCTCTCAGTATAGCATGAAGCCTCACAACATGACCTGCGAGAGAGAAGGAATTGGATGGTTTAACAACAGCTGCAAAAATACATATTTAATCTGACATGAAATGAAAGAGACTTTGCAAAGTATATGCACATAAAGCAGGAATCTACACTAACATTAATTGTAAGTGATCATTTCAAGGACATTCTCAAATATTAAGCCTTTGAAGGGGCCTAAAAAATCTGTTAGCGAACAAGAGAAAAAGTCATTCATTTTTAAAAGAGAAAGGCTTACCGGTACAGGAAATGCAAAATTATGTATTAAATGAGGAATTCCTGAACACATGTGTGTGAACTTGCTTTGGTCACCCTAACTTACTAAGCTAAGGCAAGCCGCTACGGCCTAAATCGATGCACACACACCTTCTCTTTTCACAGAAATTTCATAGACCGTTGGTTCTTTCTCCCAGACGCACTCCTCAAGTAAAATCTCCACACTTTCTTCTACGAGGTTGGCGAACCTCTTCACGACCTTCCCAGGGGAAAGGAAAGATTTGTTTGAAAAACTGATATCATCATGCTGGGCTGAGGAAACATCATCTTGCTTGATACTTAACAAATCATGGATGAGCAATTTCTCGGGATCAGCAAGAACATATCCAAAGCCGAAAAGAGGCGAAATGTATGGGTTGTCACAAGCAGCACTGTCTAGGAAAGCTGCAGGTAGTTGCCCTTGGCCTTGTAGAGGAGGATCTTGAGAAGATTTTGCGAGACATTTTGGAGACAGGAGATTCGATAAAACGACGGCGACATCAACTTTGTAGTATTCACTGTGATTCACACGCACAAAGCTATTCCCGGTTTCATTCAACAGTCCCTCGCATTCACTTTGGAAGCGGTCATCCAGCTCACCAACCTTGCTCAAAATCGGCGCAATGATTCGCCTGATAAGCGCTCTATGAACCTCCTGTATTTCTTGTCTTCTCGGTAAAACAGTATCTTGGAGATATTTTGTTAATGAATTCGATAAACTGGTTTTGCTCTTTGTCGATTTTGCTCCAGTGTCTGCCATCTTGTTTACGTCCGTATTCATGACTACATCAGCGCAGCGAGTTGTGATCTAGTCTACACCTTCAGCCGCAGTGCTAGTGTAGTGCAGATTTTTACACTAAATAATACTTGCATCCGAGAGTGAGACTATGTTGAATTTGCGGGTGGGGGGGGGGGGGGGGGGTGGGGGGGGGGAGGAGTGTCAGACCGAATCTGTTGATAATTTTTCTATAAATGTCTCATCTTTGAAATTAAATAATGATGATGAAGATTAATAATAATACAAATAATAACATTTTAAACAATTATATTGTATGCAATTAATGACAAGAAGAAGAAAGATAATAATGATAAAAATGATGTAATTAATTATAATGATAAATTACAATGAAAGTGACATCAAAAATAGACCTAATAATCGTTGTTATCATCGTTATCACTATTATCATCATAGTGAAATGTTTCTTATGCACTGAAGAAGATTAAGAACATGTAGATATGTATAATAATGTTATATAAAACAGTGTTGCTTCCTAGAGATTCTGCATGTCCAAAATATGTCTGATGAGCACCGAAAATTGGCAAATGGAAGCTGAATACAAATATACGTGATAAATATTGTTGTCTCTATTTACCTGCATGTGTATATGCAAAGCTTTCTTTTTTTCTGGAGTGCTATAATAGCCATCATCTATTCCCTATCCTTTGTCTTATTACCCACTTTCAAAGCTCCAACCCCCCCCCCCCCCCCCCCCCCCTCTTTCTCTCTCTGCCTATCCATCTCTCATTTATTCTTGGGTTTTTTTATTATGCAGTTTAGTTAACATTCATAGTAGTTATATGTAGACTATGAATAATATACATATAAAACTATTCTTAGGGGCGAATTTGATTGAATAGCAAGAAATTAATGAATTGAAACAAGTATTTATTAACAATTTACAGAAGCTTTCCGTGTAACAGCGTATTAATATTCATATCTGTCTCTCTTTACCTCTCTCTTCTAATCTTTACCCTTTTCCTCTCTCCCTATCCATCTTTCTCTCTCTCTCTCTCTCTCTCTCTCCCTATCTGTCTATCTTTCTCTCTCTCTCTCTCTCTCTCTCCCCATCTGTCTATCTTTCTCTCTCTCTCTCTCTCCCTATCTGTCCATCTTTCTCCCTCTCTCTCTCTCTCTCTCTCTCTCTCTCTCTCGTTCCCTGTCTGTCCGTCTCTCTCTCTCCCTCTCTCTCACACCCTCTCCATCTCTCTTCCTCTCTCTTCCTGTCTGTGCTCTCTACCTATTCTTGCTTTCGTTCACTTCTCCTTTGACAGTAAATTGGAAAACATAGAAATATCATCAAGTAATAAATGAAAATAATCGCACAATAATATCACAATGAATGTAGTATGTACAAGACTATATACAAATAACTTTATTTTCATGTCTTCCAAATGGATATTCAGAGAGAAACATTGAACAAAGCTCGCCTTTTTATCATTCATGATCATAAAAACAAGTAACATTTGGTGAGTGCATGTGACATTGTATGATCATGTCATATTGAAGATTTAGACAGCTATATGACTAGTAATCGCTCCATAAAGAACTTGACATGGGATAGGAATTACAAAGTACATGTACAAAGCAACAAGTTTAGATAACTACAATAATGTACATTGCATGCTCAGATTTTATCAGCACTTATGTTTGAGAGTCATTTAACATTAATAATTACACCTAAAAAAAAATGGGAAATTTAATACAGAGCACAAACAAACAATAACAACGTATATTTAGTTCACAGAGGGGAAGGGGGTGTTTTAATGGGGATTGAAATCAGTAGTTTTTGTAATATGATTTATCATCATTTACTCTAACTTATTATTGGTTTGATGGTTTGTTTTACCTGACTGCTATTAGAAAGCATGTGTATGCTTGTAAATAAGCAACCAGGGGAATGATGGCTCTAAGTCCTCTACCATAGACTTGGAAATGAGGATTAATGTCTTACCAAAGGGCACTAGCGCATTGACATGGTTTCGAACCTGGTTACAAGACCACTGCTCTACCACTGAGCCATCACGTCTCCTTTTTATTTTAAATTCACAATTCATTTAAAAGAGTGTTTCAGATACTAAGACGGTTACAGACTTCCCCCCCCCCCCCCCCATGCCTTAGCCCGAAATCTGCACAACATATAAATATCAACAAATTGTTATGTACATGGAACATTAATCATAACAGAACACAGTATCTTCATACACTCTGGGTGTACCAAGTGTATTAAACAGCACATAGAAATAAAATGGACAGGGCAACTCAAATTATCCCTTTCCTTTCCCACCCCAACCCTGCTCTGATTACATTAGATGAAGAGACACATTCCAATACTAGAAAATTGCTACTTGCAACCGCTCAAAAATTCATATTCATCCTTTTAGACTGTATCACAGTTTTATTGAAAATAGGGTGGACTTACACTTCCCTTTAAGCTGCGGACTCTGTTGAGTTCAAGTTAGTAAATCATGACACACCTGGGGGAGGGAGGGGGGGGGGGGGGTTGTCCTGGTATTAATAATTGGGCAATTTTTTTTCTTTCTTCCAGGGTCTAATTTTACTGGAGGTAATTGCCAATTTTATTGCCCAGGATGTAATTGTCCAGATGATAATTGTCCTGGGGGTAATTCTCCTTCTAAAAACATCTTTTTAGAAACTCAAGACTTTCTTAAACAGGATGAGCGCTTTCATTTTAACTTTCCAGAGAGCTCCCTTCAAGTATGAACCTAGAAACGACATCATAATCTGCATCAGTACTGGAAACTCCTCTTTGTTTGCATGTTTTCCAAGACTTCTGTAAGTTCATCGTCCTCGAACCTTCCTTCAAGACTGGTTAACAAAAAGGGGAACAAACAAGAAAATGCATTGATAACTTGCAAGAATATAAAAAATAGTCATTGAAAAAAAATATTATTGTATAGCTCTAAAATTGCATTAGGAATTTACAACCAGTGATAACATAAAACATTTGATTAATTCAAATTCAAGATGACGAACATGACTGAAATCAGGAGGCCTAAAAAAATGTAGAGCTTAACTTTCACATCTAAAAGGGAAATAAGATACATTTGGGGTAAAGTATTCATTCATCAAGAAAATAAAAGGTATAGGTGTAAACAAAAATTAAAGAAATTAAAAGAAGTCCATGTTTCATTATTCATATAAAAAGATGATTATTGATACATGCACAACCTGACTTAATATGTACTCCTCTCGATACTAACATGTATGTTATTTTCTCCCTCTCCCCGCTCCTCTTTGTCCCTTGTCTTTCTATGATCTCTTTCTATCTTTCTCCCTTTTTAACCCAATTTGTATGCATCGCTTCATATTGTATTCATTCTTATTTTCATTTTCGAGAGGATATCACTTTAAGCTTATGCTTAAGACGACCTCTTTCTACTACATACCATGTCATTATCATACATCTAAAGCTATAGGAGTTATGTAAAATGTTGATGCATATATGGAATAAATAAACATCAAATCAAACATCAAGTGTTTGGTAGTGTTAAAGCCTGTCTGCACTAGTTTGGCCAGGAGTGATTAGACCACCCTGCTGGTCACTGACAGGTGGTTATCTCATCAAATCAGCTCTCAATTAACATAAGAAAAAGGGGACCATGGGTGACCAATGGTCACCACTTAGGCATTGTTGGGTATAAAGAGGGCGTTATAAGAAGTGCAGACAGGCTTTAAATAAGACATGTTATCATGATACCTTGGAATCAATGCTTTGGCCTCTTCTGCTGTTTCTGGACACAGGTTGGCAAGAAGGGCCAGCTCAAACTTGTGAAGCTTAGGTTGCTGCTGTTGTAATAATCTACATGTAAAGAAAGGAAATACAGTACAGAAGTCAAGTAGGGAGTGATCTGACTGTGACAACATATGATGAACAAAAGTAGATGCTACTATTAAGAAGCTAATATGAGGAATTCCAAAAAACTGTTTTGTATACACTCTGAAATTTCATGTACTCTTAAATATTGTAGTATGTTGCAAGGGAGGTTATACATTTCCTTTACATTGAAACATTAATAAAGAAAAGCTCACATGTCTCCTTGATCTCAATCTTATACAAAAGCATGAGAACAGCATCATTTACATCAAATATATCAATGTCAAGTGGTCTACAATGCTCACTGCTCATTTACAAAATTATTTTGAAATGATAGAGTTGAACACTAAATCAATATTATCAACAAATTGAAGTATGCAAATGAATCTTGTTGAGTACTTTTCTTTGAAAACATGATTTCAGTTAAACAATATTGATCTAAAATAGCAACTAAATGCAAAACGAATTCATGAGACTAAGGCCTACAGAGTATAGACGTCAATGATCTTTCATACAAAGTGAAATCACAGTCATTTATAAATTACAAAGGGCATTATTTTTAGGGAGGATCCACAAACACAAGCTACTTGTAGCTAGTTTATATTTGTGTATGAAATAGTCCTTAAATAGTTGCCAGAATGAGATGTTTGCACCCCCCCCCCCGATACACACACACACACACACAAAATCAAAAATCAAAATCCAGGCAGTATTGTGGTCTTTATACATTGTCTACTTTCAGGCGCGTACACCTCACCCCCTCCCCCTGGGGCCTCCTTGACAAAACTGGAACTGTTCATGCTCTACCACCAACACACAGGCAGGAGTATCAAAATTCATGATAAATCTTACCCTCTGACATCACCAATGGTTTCTCTGTTTTTAAACCGTGAGAATCTCCCTGTGTAGTTGAGTGTCTTCATGAAAACTTCACTGAGCTCCTGTTCTTCTTCCTGACTTTCATTCTGTTGCTTTCTATGCTGCAATAACATCTGTACTTCAGAGATCAGGAGAGTCTCTGCTTGCTCAAACACTGAAAGGTCAGAAAAGTGAGATAATAATAATAATAATAATAATAATAATCTTTTAGTCCACTCCAAATTTTATCAAACCAAAAATGGAAATTCTTTTTGCCCAATTGAGCCTGAGCAGCGCCAGATCGACGTTGCTCTATCCTTTATTGTTGGATGCCAAACAAGGTAGCAGCAACTTCCGTCTTTTAACGTCTTTTGGTATGACGCGTCCGGGGTTCAAACCCACGATCTCCCGGTTGTGAGACGGACGCTCCACTGACTAAGCCAACACACCGGTTATGCAATTGCAAGTTGTTTCAGTATTAAGTAATTTAATGGCACTGGGAATACTTTTTTTCAGGACTATGCAATCCTTTTTTTTAACCGTGTGTACGTACAGCGGCCGAGAAGCGGAGGTATAAAGATCGACGTATAGGGTAGAGCGCCCGGTATTCGGTCACTTAAGGGGAAATTGCTAATATTTTGAATTCTTACCTCTTTTATTTGGCAATCTACCCATCAAAAGAAAAGAAAATTATATCTCTAACAGGATTTTATAGTAAGGCTGCGACGGGTAGTCGAATGCACGAGTACCCGCACGGTTGAGAACTACTCGGGTACGATTTTTCGTACCCGAATATTCGGCCGCAAAAAAAAAAATGTCCAGGCCCACGCTTACCCGTGCCAGGGAGAGCGGCAGCCGCTGGCATGGTACCGTCGGTAAAAATGTTTCCCAACTCAAGCACTGTCAAACTCACCTTTCAGAAACTGGGACCAAATGTCCAGATTTCTGTTTGGACTTGGAGAAAAATGGATTATTCTGCCATCTTTGGTTTTTAAAACAGCATTGTTTACTGTTATTATTCTTAATAAATCGGCGCCTTCAACTGCAACTCAAATTAAAATTGCATGCGTTTTCGGCGAGGGACCTGGGAAACTGCCGAGTGGTATGGTAGTGGCAAAAAAAGAACAAAAATCAAAAAAATTCAAAAAAATTCAAAAAAATTATAAAAAAACATGGCGTCCGAATATTCCAGTATTCGCTTGTGAGCCTGGGAGTGTACTCGGGTACCTCATTACACTGTTGTGCACAGCCTTATTTCATAGTCACTTAAAATAAAGAATGATGATAAGCAAAATATTTCTGAAAGAAGACAGAGCATTTTTCTGCCCAGAATTTGGTCGCGCCGAATAGAATTCGGTCATGCGATTTGTGCGTGGTATCTCCGGTGCGAAGGAGCGAAGCGTATTTGCACACTATTTTCACACAATCGCGCGACAAAGAACTGAATGTTAATGCGTTGACCAAATACTGGACGAGTGCTACCGTATGGCAAGGGTATCGTATAAATACCTCTTGCACATCGACAACTGCGTCATTTGCAAATTCGCTGCGATGGAGCGAACACGGAAGAGCTCCTCTTCACACATATACTAAATTTATTGCGACAGCACACGTAGTTGTTTCGCAATAGACTTCTACATATGGCTATGCATGTTAGTGCATGTGCTACATGTAAGTGCTAACAGAACGTGGAAGAAAGTGCAGAAAGTTGTGCGACACTGACCAATTTCGAGCTAAGTTGGAGATCTTTCCGGGGCCCTATATTTAATTTTGAGAGTTAAGAAAAGTTGTTTAGCTGCCTGATTTGTGCAAGTTTCGTGGCTCATAAATTATTTTTTAAATTGTTACAGCTGTTGAAACGGCTGTCTGACCGAATACTGGACGCGCTACCCTACATTGTCCAGAAAAACAACTAAAATTCGACCAAATGAGCTTCAAATTTGTTGACCTTGGGGTTTGGACTAGTTATTCTGCATCAAGAAGGTATTTTCAATTATTTTTTTTAATTCTATTTTAGTCATATTTAGAGCATTTTTAGGATGTTCTGGAAGTTTTGACTGATCTGGGCTAAGGAGAAACTGTAGAATTTACCCGCTTCGCTTTTCTAGTTTTCCTTTTCTTTTAATTTTGCCACTTTTGGTATGTTCGACTTTGGCACTTTGTCTGAGGTTTGGGCTTTGGCTTTTCCTCTGGTTTGGTTATTTCTTCATGTTTCGAGGGACACTTTTCTGATGGGGAGGTCAAATATGATTTGTACTTTAGTCTCTTACTGTGCATGCAAGAATGTGCCGATTCATAGTCTATATATTTTGCTATTTTTGTGGTTTAATTTACAAAATTAATAATTTGTGAACGAATACTGGCGCTAATGCGCTATACAAATTTATGGGTTGATTCTCCCTTCCCGCTTTATACCAGTACTACATACATGTACAACTGATGTTTATTGCATTCATAATTGCAATTTTATTTCATTCATTTAAACAAAGTCATTACACATAAATAACAATCCATAATTACATAACATACACATTAAAAACATATTGGACAAAGACATACATACAAGGACATACAAATCAACTGAATAGGCTGCAACCTGAACTGAAAGGAAATCCTTAGAATTATATAAAGGTTGACCCATTGCCATGATTGCACTACACAGAAATGAATATGTCGGGCACATACAGTCAAAACTATCTAATCACTCTCTACTAAATACATCATCTCAAAACACTGATATGATTAAAATTATCTCACCTTTTGGAAATTTAAGTTCCGATGCATCTTCTTCCTGCTCTTCCTGACCAGGAATAAATGAAGCCATGATTTAAGTCGCAATTTAGTGATTTGTTTTTCTTGTTATGGATGGATTTCCACACTTTTCTCAATGCACTGTACCAATTTCTAACACGAGATGGTGCTGTTGATCTTTCGTTGCGCAGTCGCCGATCGACATCAACAAGCTTTAATTTATTACCAGTATCATTGTTATTATCAGTACTAGCAGCAGCATCATTTCATCATCATATTTTCATGTTCTACCTAGTTTAGCCCTGAGTGATCACAAATTCACACTTTACTATAATAAATTGTCAAAATACAATTAAGGAATCAATTATACGACAGTTAATGGTGCTACTCTGACCAGCCGGACTAGCCATATTTTTGTATGTAGAAGGAGTTTAGAATATGATTCTTATATTTATTTGTTAATATGTCTATTATTCTAACTTTCATTTTTCATTTAGCATGACGAAGAAATAAGAAGAAGACTATATTGGATGCACAGGGATGGGGATATAACATCAGTTTCATTGTAACCCCAATAGCAAGATTATTTGGCCCTTGTCCCTAACCAGTTCTTAAACAGAATGAAATAACAACATCACCTAGCTGATATACTCTACTCTATAATTGTTTTCCTTTTTTCTCTTACAAAATCAGAGAAATGTTTCCTTCCTGATAATCCTGTAGTTCAATTAGGCTCGGATTTTTAAGTACATGACGCTGTCTTTAATTTCCTGTGAATGAAAGCAATTAGTCGGATAATAAAGGTCATCCCGCGCATCTCATGATAACTTGGCCTTGCAGTTGAAGATGGATAAGTGGTGATGCAGTCGCAGCTAATCACTCGGCTAATCATCATCAATTCCAACTATAGCTCCCGCAAGACTAATACTAATAGCTAGACCACTTACCATGCTATATGCGTAAGATGTCTAGTTAAAGGAAACCAAAACCTTCATACTAAGTTACTTTTATTGTAAAGTTTAAAAGATTTGAATAAAATCAGTGAAAATTTGAACAAAATCGGGCAAGGAATAAGGAAGTAAGAGCTTTTTGAAATGACTAGTCACTAGAGGGCGGTATTCAATTTGATGACATCATCTGTGAACAACTCTCCATGCCTTTTGTACATAAAATTTCACAATTTTTTTGTTTTCTTCGTATTTATTTGTGTTCTTGATCCGACTTCATACCATGTGAAGTAGAATATCATTTTGCATTCTATAACTTGCTTTCGGGGAGTACATTATCCCAATCACAAGAAAGAAGGGAAAACATGAAATTTGATGTACAAAAGGCATGGAGAGTTGTCCACAGATGATGTCATCAAATTGAATACCGCCCTCTAGTGACTAGTCATTTCAAAAAGCTCTTACTTCCTTATTCCTTGCCCGATTTTGTTCAAATTGTCACAGATATTTTTCAAATATCTTAAACTTTACAATAAAAGTAACTTAGTATGAAGGTTTTGGTTTCCTTTAAAGGTATAGTTAATAAGTTTTCATGATATTGATTATACAATGGCATGAATAATTGTTAACTGTGTCAGTTTTATACAGATTAGCTGGCACTCTTTTCAATATTGTTTTCCTTTTAATGTCCAATTACAAAATCATAGAAATGTATCCTGTTTATAAGAATAAGAATTATTCTCACATATTTTTCTTTTGCTGCATATAATCACATAGAATGTTTTAAGAAAGATAGATATATTTAAAATCACGTTATTATATATATGCAACAATATATTTAAATAAATTGTCTCGCCGAGAACACATCAATTTCAAAATCATATAGATTACAATTCGTTTTGGGGTGGGGGTGAGGGGAGATGCCACAGAATAAGAGTTATTCTCACATAGTTTCTTTTGCTGCATTATACAATCACATACAATGTTTTAAGAAAGGTAAATACATTTAAAATCTCGCTATTCGGCGTTGTCTTCGACAGCATCATCCTAACCATGCGAGCTCCTTGATCTTAATGCTAGCTTGCGAATAATTCATGAAACTGTCTGCTCGCGGCGGAGATATAAGAAGATGAGGTATTAATACATGTAGGGCCTATCTGGGATGTATGAAAACCTTAGCGTGTCCAAGTATGTCTACTTTCCATGTCTCAATCGCAAAATATAAGATGTAATCTGAGAATCTCAGGTGTACAATGGGCTAGTGTGAACACGTCGTTGAGTCTTCGTCAATCGCGTACGGAAGAGGAGGAGAGGAAGAGAATTTTAATGATGGCTGCCATTATTCGCGATCGAAATGGAGGGAATTATAACACGTCCGTGTCTCAATTTGATGACAATAAATAACAGGTGCATGTATTATGCGGATAGTACCGAGGGATAGTCGCGTAAGATTCTCGCTTTCATGCAGTCCCTGTTATGTAGCTCGGGAATATAGATTTATTTGATTTTCTAGCTAGTGTGAACAACGTTTGTGAAGAAGAAGAATAGAGAATGTCAGATGTAAATGGATTGGTCTAGTGTGAACACATCATGCCTCGCTTTAATCAATCATGAAATATAGGATGAAGGATCATGGAATATTCTAGTGTGAATACAGTAGTTGGTATACAATAAAAATTGTGTCTCCCTTTCATCAACCGTGAAAAGGGGATAATGGGATATGATGATAGGATGAGAGGATAATCATACTGGGATAATCTAGTGTGAACACATCTGTACGTCTCGCTGTCGGTCATCAATCGTTGAAATATAAGATCAAGGGAATGTTTGAGGTATGAGGTGGTCTTGACCTTTGGAATTAAAAGAATTACACTCATCACATCACCTTGAGGTGACTCATCATGCGATGCATCATCTCAATAAATTTCCAAGTGGAGGGCTTGGTGGATGACACTAAACAGAAATTACCGTCTGGTATGGGGAACTCTTTAATAAATCTGACATTAATGTGTCAACCTTCTATATTTGAGGGGGTGATTCAGTGGAGCCAGACGTAGTCTCAGCGAAACTGTCAATAATTATATGATACTGAAGCTTTCGGTCTAGGATGGCAAGAGCTCGCGTATTCGATTACAATTATAAAGGGACTGATTAATGATTCCGTATAAAGAAAATCAGACAAAATTCCCTAATAATATAATTATATATATTTTAAAATGCAATTCAGATGCTTTTGTTCTGGGTACAAGAACATAATTAGAAGGCCTAAGCCAGATTGGGTTTTAAAACAGGGTAGTCCCCATTAGTATACAGGTTGTGCCCCTTCAGATCCATCATTGTTCGACAATATCGCTTACTAATTTTATATCTTAAATAGTGGATTAAAAAATGCATGATCTTGCTCCAATATTTGGAAGATGCATTTCAAAATGCATTTCATTTTTACCCTTCAGAATGTTTAATGCAGTTTGGACAATCCGTCCACAAACAGATTTGTGAAATAAATTCACTGGACATGTCCTCATGAAACTTAATCCTTATTCATTTACGATCACGCAGTAAATTCGATAATATACAGTTGGGAGTACCTGTATTCTTTTCTCAAGGGAAAGCAAACGACAGGCCTCGATCAGTATAGCGGCCTACCGGCATCTTCTACAATCAATACTAGTTCATGGTTACGCTGTAAATTTTGTCCTCTCATAATTATTTTTGAAAACAGATGGTATATTATTTTGTAGATTAGTATCACACTGAGGAGTGAGGAAGATGAATATACATGCATTTCCACTCCACTGTTTTTTGTTGGTGTGTGTACTTCAGGCCAAGGTCTATAATACAAACTGGCTGATATTATACAACGTTCAACCATCGGGGCTCTTTCCGCTCCTGCATCCGGGAGTGTCTAGAAGATGGATGTATGGGATGGCCAGACACGTTTTGGTATTGATTATCTGTTTAGCGAATGAGCCAAGTGATATAACAGTCACAGACTGAATCTCGGCAAAAATAAATCATGGTACATTGGGGGCAGTTTATAGAAGTTTTTTTTTTAATATCATTATTCGAGAGTATATCCTATAATATTATAGTGCCCCACCCCCGGCGTGTGTACGTCATAAACCCGCAGATCTTCACTTCATATCTTATTCATTAAGCATCCATCATGATTAATCCAAACAGTTCCTAAAATGTAAATCTGGTCCCCGTTTTCTTAAAACTTCTTACAATAAAACATCAAGGGAGCAGGGGTGGCGATTTCTTTTCATGACCGGGGGGTGGGGGACGAAATGCAAGATTGTTTACAATATTTACTTGTACGTTTTGGAGGATATTATTCGAGGGAGCGTACCGACCGAGCAAGCGCGTAGCCAGGATTTCATTTTAGGGGGGGCGGTAATGAGCACGCGAAGCGTGCGAATCACTTAAAGAGCGCGCGAAGCGCGCTCCCTAGGGGGGTGGGTGCAGGGAGGGGGGAGTTTCCCCCCTCCCGCGCGAAGCGCGGAAGCTTTGAAAGAAGACGATTCGTTGTACCTTTCTCGACTCATAATCCTTGTCTGAATTCAGTCCCTCCCCTCTCTCGCGCGAAGCTTTGACGTTTCATTAAATTATTAGAGAAAGAAGACGATTCGTTGTACCTCTCTCGACTCTTAATCCTTATCTGTATTCAGTCCCTCCCCTCTCTCACGCGAAGCTTTGACGTTTCATTAAATTATTAGAGAAAGAAGACGATTCGTTGTACCTTTCTCGACTCTTAATCCTTGTCTGAATTCTGTTCCCCCCCCCCCCTCTCGCCCGAGGCTTTGACGTTTCATTAAATTATTAGAGAAAGAAGACGATTTGTTGTACCTTTCCCGACTCATATTTCTTAATTTGAACTCAGTTTCCCCCTTCCCGCGCGAAGCGCGGAAGCTTTGACGATTCATTGTACCGTTCTCGACTCCTTTTCCCTTTTTCTTCCTACGTCCTCTTTCTTTTTTTCCTTCTCTTTCTCTCTCTTTTTTTTTTTTGGCCGGCGTTTTGGGGGGGGGGGCGACCGCCCCCACCGCCCCCCCCTGGCTACGCGCCTGCGACCGAGCGAGAAGATTTATGCATTCAATTTTGTACTAGTCTAAACGCTGAACTCTGTGGCCCTCCAGAGCCTAAACGTGTGTTGCAGTCTGATAGACAATATTTTCTATACATTATATTTTGCACTTTTTTTCAAATTTTCCG